ATTTATATATATATATATGTGTGTGTGTGTGTGTGTGTGTGTGTGTGTGTGTGTGTGTGTGTGTGTATGCATACTTCATTCAGTGGGTATGCTTACAAATGCTATCACATATAAATTGATCTCATTAATAGCTATTTAAAACGATGATTTTGTGACAAAAAATGTTTAATGTTTATTTTTCCTCTACAGAGACAGAACATCTACTACAGTACTAGTGCTTCAGAAAGTTAAAATTGTAGTTAACTAACCCACATTTATCTACCCGCTCTTCATGCTGCTCCAGAATAAGTTGCATCTTTGAGACGATTGAAGTGAATGTGATTTGATTTCAGTCTCAAGCTGATCACACAGAGCATCAGATTAAACAGCAGTTTGAGAAGCTTCATCAGTTTCTCAGAGATGAAGAAGAAGCTACAATCACTGCACTGAGGGAGGAAGAGGAGCAGAAGAAGCAGATGATGGAGGAGAAGCTGGAGGAGATCAACAGTCTCATCTCAGCTGTTTCATACTCGATCAAAGACATGGAGGAGATGATGAAAGCCAGTGACGTCTGCTTTCTGAAGGTCTGATTTCAGATCATTTATTGATTGATTGATTGATTGATTGATTGATTGATTGATTGATTGATTGATTGATTGATTGATTGATTGATTGATTGATTGATTGATTGATTGATTGATTGATTGATTGATTGATTGATTGATTGATTGATTGAGTTGTTGATGATAAACTGTGTGTTTGTTCTGCAGAAGTTTCCAGTCTCAATGGAAAGGTGAGTGATCTGCTGCTGTCTCTGCTCTCTCTGCTTCTGATCCAAAGCCACTGCAGTTCTGACCCTGAATGTTCTTCCAGAGCCCAGATCTCATCACAGCCGGATCCACAGACACCTTCTGGAGTTTTGATTGATGTGCCGCGTTACTTGGGCAACCTGCCCTTCAGAGTCTGGAAGAAGATGCAGAACACCATCCAGAACAGTGAGTCTGGAGAAGATCTGAGCTCTTACACACACACTGGAAATGATGCAAGGGGGAAGATTTACAGATTTAAAGATGCCTGATATGTTTCTTCAATAGGAGAAGTGTTGTTAATACATAATAATCTGTGTTCGGTTCACTCTTCATCATTATATGAACATCAGAATAAAAGCAGCTGTTGATTGTGTCTCTTCAGCTCCTGTGATTCTGGATCCAAACACTGCAAATCCAGATCTCATCCTGTCTGATGATCTGACCAGTGTGAGATACAGCGAGGAAAAACAGCCCCTTCCTGATAATCCAGAGAGATTTGATGAGTGTCTTTGTGTCCTGGCTTCAGAGGGTTTTAACTCAGGAACACACTGCTGGGATGTGGAGGTTAAGGAGAGCTCACACTGGAGTGTTGGAGTATCTGCAGCATCAAACCAGAGGAAGGGAGATGAATACTTTAGCACTGATGTCTGGAGTGTGCGGTATGATCAGTATGGACTGTCTGAAAGGTTTGGTTTTCCTGTTAAACAGAAGCTTGAGTGTGTGAGAGTTCGTCTGGACTATGACAGAGGAACAGTGTCATTCTCTGATCCTGTAACTAACACACATCTACACACATTCACAACCACCTTCACTGACACTGTCTTGCCATTGTTTCGTAATCTTGATGAAAAAACCTATCTGAGGATTTTACCAGTTAAAGACTAACAACAGAAAATCACTGTTGAATCTGCTAATAAATCAATTACAAAGATAGATCAATATAATATACAAGATAAGAATAAGATATAAAAATCTTACATATTTATTCTGTGGAATCAGAAATGTATGTAGTTAATAGTACAAACTGGCCAGTACAAACATAAGTTTGATATTCAAATGGATAAATATGAATGTTCTCAGCCTGAATGAAGATTATAAAGGTCATTGATGAAAGACTGAGATACGACAGGTGATGAACATCTGAACAGCACAGAGTGTTTTGTGGTCGTACATTCACCTTCATCATGATGTGGATCAGTTTATATATGCTGTGTGGAAACATTGTGAAAATTGTGGCTAACTCAAAAGCTGCATCAGTAAAAAAGGATAATGATCTTTTTTAACTTATTTGATCCAACTTATCTTATAAGACGAACGAATGAGAACACTCCTTCAGAGCTTCTTTTGAACTTTACAGCTTATTTTGTTTGTTGTAACTTTTCCAGAGTATTACAAATAAAAATGTTTTATGCAAACAATAATATGCATTTGTGACACTTGTGAACACACAGTATAAACTTGTAGTTTAAGTAAATTATTAGCACTACCTAGTGGATATATTGGGTGAATTACAAGTGGCATTTTGGTGTACTTAAAAGACACTGAAGGACACTCAGAATCAGAATACATTTTATTAGTCAAGTGAGCACGACAGACTGTTGTGCAATTTGTTGTGGTACTGGGCATTCCAGTACTAAACATTAATACATTATAGAGAATATTTACAAAAATGCAGTTTATGCAATTTACACAAGTATAGGCCTATGCAAGTTGTTTACACACAGAGTACAGGTGCAGAGATTTTCTGTGCAGGTGTCCTGACATTTCATCCTACCCGTCAGATTGTCCTAGCTTACTGCACATGTGCACATACTGCGTACATTTTCTCACATTGAACAACACATAATTACTGTATTTGCATTACTGTAAGGGTAGGTTTAGGGTTAATAAAACATAATCGAATGGGTAGCATTTTTGTTGTGGCATTGACAGGGTTGCACAAATCGTCAGAACACCGGTTTATGAATAGTGAATGAATTCAAACGTGTAAGAGCTTCTCTTATAATTTCCTCTGAAGCCGCTCCACGTTTTGAGTGTGTTCAGCTGCAGGTCGCTGTGAGCCAATCGTTATCTGCTCCTTTCTCCAGAGGTCAAAACAAAAATGAGCAGCTGAAATCTTTCATAAAGATAGGGGGGTATAGCAGAAAGCATTATGTTTTTAAAGGGATAGTTCACCCAAAAATGAACATTCTGTCATTAATTACTCTCCCTCAAGTCGTTCCAAACCCGTAAGACCTTCGTTCATCTTTGGAACACAAATTAAGATATTTTTTATGCATTCTGAGAGCTCTTTGACCCTCCCATAGACAGCAAGGTTACTACCACGATCAAGGTCCAGAAACATAGTAAGGACATCAGTAAAATAGTCCATGTGACATCAGTAGTTCAACCGTAATTTTACGAAGCTATGAGAATACTTTTTGTGTGCAAAGAAAACAAAAATAACGACTTTGTTCAACAATTCTTCTCCTCCTCATCCAGTCTGCTGTGGCTTGCCTCCATTTTGGAGAGTATCAGGACGCATGCGTGCACTTCCGCTTCGTGTAAACAACGCATGTCCGTGTTGACTTAAGCAGCAGGGCAATGCACATGCGTTGTTTACATGAAGTGGAAGTGCGCGCATGCGTCGTTTCGGCTTCCAGTTCCAAAAATGGAGATTACATTCAGCATAGGTGCCCTCCCCCCTCAACCCAGAGTATGTTCACGGTTAACATACAAGACATTCTCAACTGAGCGACGAGTCACCATGGAAACCGACGCTAAGAAAAAGCAAGCCATGCTGCTTCTTCCTTCTACTTCTGTTCAATGGTCATTTACATCATATATATATCTATGATTTACATAGTGCATATTGCCACCTAATTGGTGGTTGTGCAACTATTTAAAAAAAAAATTCGTTAATCTTTTAATCACTGAGAATAAGAATTATTTTGTTTTGTTTGATGCAAGTTATATAATAAGAAATATAACATATGTATTTTATGATATAAATACATTATAGAAAATGCAGATCCACGATGTGTGATGACAGTAAAATATAATCAATATTACCTTGTTATAATAGTGTTTTATAATTAATAAATATCGATAACTATTATATATGACAATATATATTACCTTATATATTACTTATAATAGTGCTTTATAATTAACATATCATCCAACTACATAGTATATTTATATTTATTTATATACTATATTGTAATCATATACAATATAGTATAGTTTATTTCAGCGCTATCACGTACTGATAGCGCTGAAGTAAACTAACCCTGAAACATAACCTACTCTGGAGCAGGTTATGTTCAGCGAATAAGTTGTTATGGCTACTTACATACCCTGAGAGTTACCTCTGTTTATTAAGAGTTTATCCGCTTACTTACCCTTAAACATACCCGGGTATGTCACATAACCTGATTTCTGGAATGCCCCCCTGGAATACACCCCTGCTCATGTGATCTTGAGTAGTCCTGTTCAGTGTGAACAACACATGGCTTTTGTTGTTTGTTTGTTTATGTGCCATGTGTTCTCCTGTAGGCTATGTTGTGTTACCCTCCGTTACCCTCTAATTTCCTTCCCTGCTTATTCGACCTGTGCTCTCTGTCATTGATCGTTGCCTTCTCTTAGACCCTGTGTTCTTCCCTTCAGGGTAGTGTTTTGTTTTATTTTTGATTGTTAATAAAAAATTACTCTGTTCTTGAGACCTCGTGACCAGTCACTGGTCAAACTTTAAATTGTTGATTTCAAACTATGCTGTGCTACATCCAGTTGGCCACTATGTCATATTTGTGTCATTTTCACTGTGTACTGTACATGTAAATGTTGTGTATCTTGTTAATGTTGTGATATTTTACTTAAAATACGATGTAGTATATTTTTATTTTATTTTATATTTATTTATTTACACATTTTTTTTACTCATTTTTTTGACCATCAAGTGTCAACAATATTTTACAATAGATAAAGTGCAGACAATTAAAAAAACTATTTCCACATAAGCTATTTTTTAAAACGCATAACTTTTGCCACGGTTGCGCCTGTTTTGTTTACACTACTCTGGCGTTTTCAACCCTCGAAAACACAGACTTCCGAAAACACTGCAGACCCCGTTTTAGTTTGAAAACTCCGGGGTTGCGTTTCAGTGTAAACGGACCAAAACGGAGACTTTTGAAAACGATGGCATGGCTGCCCAGATTCGTTCTGTGTATCCTTGACGACCATGTAAACAATAACATCATGCTCATTGTTGTACCCATAGATATGTATAGATTCCCCATTCGACGGCTCCAGGCACGTAGATGCGGCCACCATCTTGGAAGGGTCAACTTGACGTCATTCACCATACTGTATGTTCTCACAGAGCCGTTGAGCCGTTCTGTGCAGGATTGTGGCATCTTTCAAATATTCAGTGATTACGATGGGGAATGGCGTCAAGTTGACCGTTACAATATGGCGGACGGCTTACGTATAGCGGCCCATAGAAACAGTCGCTAATGAGGCATCTACTTATATATATATATGGTTGTACCTGCAAGAATGGTCATGTGACATGCGTTTTCGATTGTTTAGTGTGGACGGAGAACGTTTCTGAAACGCAGTGAAACCGCAAGTCTAGACGAGGATCACTTTCATTTGAAAACGCTGTTTTAAAACGAAAACGCACAAGTGTAAATAGGGCTTGAGACTGTCGACTTGTGTTATTGTTCTCATCTGCAAAGTGTCTGAAATTCGTGGTCTTTTACTTGACATTAAATAGCGCTCCATCGTGATAGCTGTTGATACTGACCCCTCCCCCATAATGTCAATTGTTTATAGGACACATATTAGGCACCTTTTTTTTTTTCTTCTAGGTTTTTAATGTTTATTTTTCAGTGTTAATTAAAGTGACACTGGGAGTTTAAAAAAAAAAACAGGAATATCATTAGTAAATCCTAATGCCATCAAGGAAATCCAAACCCCATCAAGCCCCGCCCTAGCGCCGCCACAGCCAAATGGGTGCCCTGAGCAAAATTTTATTGTTGTGCCCCCTCCCCCAAATATTATGGAAGTAAAAAAAAAAACTAAAACAAAAACACCTACTATAGGGGTCAAAATAGAACTTTAATAAAGCATAAAAGTAAATAAATAAAGAAATTGTAATTAAATTGTATTATTTACAAATAAAAAAAAAAAACTAAAATTACACACATTAAATAAAACATTTTAAAATATTAAATATCAAAATAAACAATAATAAATTTAATAAAAAAATCAAAGGCATCGGCTATTTGCACTCAGTATAAATAGCGATTGAGGCTATTTACACCAAGCGCAAATAGCTATATTCCATTTACACTATGATAAAATAGCAGGATTTTCTGCTATTTATACTACTTTTTGCAAATAGTGGCAATTATCTGCACCACAGTATTGAAGCAAATTATAAAACAGCATGCAATAATAATGTATTGAGTGTAAATTATAATTTTAATTCAAATTTAAAAAAATGGATGCCACCTTATTGGGACAATAAAGGCCTCCCTACACCTACCCTACCCGATACTTTATTTTCAACTTTTCGATTATTTCCTTCATCTTTATTAAAATAAATGCCTTTCCAATGCGATATGAGATTTGAAAAGGGAGGGAAAAAAAGTTTGGCAAAAGGCAGATTCGAGCTCGGGTCGATCGCATCAAAACAACTACGGCACACACTTTACCATCTACAACACTGGAGATGTTGCTTGTTAATTGTCTTTTGTAGTGTTGACTAGCCCAATCACACGTAGGTGGGCGGAGTTAGTGTAAATAGCTTCTGCCAACAAGGCGGGCTATGTTTCAATGGGAATAACTGAGCATTACATTCGCGAGTCATAAGCATATTACAACAATTTACGCTTAACTAAGAATAATGGTCAAATTTATAACTGTTAATATTCTAAAATAAGATCTTCTTTATGACGTATGCAGCCTACAAATGCGACATCCGGAGGATGCAGCCTTCCGTTTGAGAAACGGCCTTTGTTTAAATAGACACTCCGAAAATCAACGCTGATATAGCTACGTCATCTGCTGGAGCATTCCAAATTTCAACATTTACAAAGGCACTCCTGCTTTTTCTGGAAGCGAAGTCGTCAATGAGCTCATCATATGATAATTAAAACATTAATTAATGCTGATAAATGTTATTAACGTCAACAGCCAAAAAAAGTTTAACAGGATTATGAACGTACCTTAAAGGCATCCACGGGCTTTATCTTGGGCTTTTTTCCTTTTTCTGTTCTCGGTGCCGGACTGCTGATGTTCTGCACCTTGTTACTTATTTCATTTTTATTTATTAGAAAGGTATATACTGTTCTAATTTAATTCTGTAAATTAGTTTTTGATTGTTTTTCGGTGCAT